GTTTTTAGATGAAGTAAGATGTGATAATTTAACTAATCGATGTTAAATATAAAACAGTAAAAGTTCACATAACTTTTTTTTAATCACAATTTGGACCATTGTTGCCTGTTATATTGGCAACTTTAGAACGGATTATTTGTACTAAAAATGCGTATTGTGGCGTTCTGGATCATAGTTGAAGGCATAAAATTAAACAACTGTAATTAGTAAGAATTGAAATATGTTTGTTTTTCATTTTTTTATACAAAAGTCGTCAATATTCGTTAAAATTGAACTTTAAGTAATAGAATTATTATTATTTTTGGAATATTAAAGACGATAAAAATTTTTGGTATAAAAGAAACAATAATGAAATGAAATCAATCATATTTTTCTTAATAGGTTTATAGGTAGGTACATATAATTATTTATTTTTTTGGTTAACCCTATTTATACTTCAGTTCCGGTACTCGAAACAACGCGCCGCTTCGTGCCTAATTTTGATGGGGTTTTGATTGTCGAAATAATCTTCTCCATTGGATAGAATATACAGTCCGGTTTCTCATGCCACTTCCATGATAATCCACAACGATTCATGCAACTAACAAACGCTCCATCATCATCAACGGTCTTGACTTTCCCCGACCACTGTTCGCCTTCATATTCTACTAAAACATAATCGTCTGGCTTGGGAATAAACTGCGTAGCATTCGGGATATCAATGGCAGCCGCTGCAGATTCATCTACGATGAATTCATCAGAGAGATTAAGGTGGCCCCAGTCGATAGCTCGAACTAAATGGTGGGCGGGGTTAAATGCATGCTATCTCAGCCGACATCATAAAATAATTCAAAATTTTATTTATATTTCGCTAATTGTGTCTGTACTGTGAATTTGATTTACAATCGATCTCTAAATTGTAGTTTTCTTCTAATTACTTACCTTGTCTAGACGTGTTCTTTCGACTTCTGTAAGGAAGTCTGTGCTGTTAGTCCTATTCCGTTTAGGTACGTTACTATTTTGATAGACGTTTGTGCTTGTCCCTGCAGTGACACAATTCCTATAGAATAGCGAAAGGGATAGACGCTGTGATGAGCAGTAAGAAGCTAGTGCGCACAAACATACGCACTCGAGTGACGCAATGCGCGACGGCGTCATCGCGTACCTATCTATGCGATTCATTTTGGAATAATAACATAAACTCAAACGGCAATTATGAGCTTCTTGGCGCAGTGACTTAGCAATGAGTAGCTGCGCTGGGGGCCGCGGGTTCAAATCCCGCACGCAACAAATATTTGTATGGCCTACAAATAAATGTCCCGGGTCTGGATGTTTGTCCTTGTGCAATTTATGTTTTTAAACTGCCTCCACGATACAGGAGAAAATCCTACTGTGGGGGTATTGTATTTTAAAAAGAGAAAAGAGAGAGGAAACAAATTGGTGTTATTATTATGAACCCAATTTAGTTGTTATTATAAAAGTTCTTATGTGAATTTAAGTAGATGTTGTTATTATATAATAATTTCATTGATTTGTTTTTACATACTTTTTAAACGACTTCGAAAAAAAGAAGGCGGTTCTCAATTCGTTGTTTTTTTTTTGGTTATGTATGTTCTGTTGCCCGATTTCTCGAAGATGCCTGAACCGATTTGGAAAATTATTTTTTGGTTTGAAAGAATATACTTTCCAGATGATCCCATGGTAATCGATGATGGTCAGATCAAGATATGATGATGGGATCTTGGAGAAATCGAGGAAACTCTTCAATAAATGACAGAAAATCAACCGCGATTGCTGTTATAGCGTATCAATGCATTCTTTACGCAACCACACAGTATAATATCACGCCTGTACCCACAAAAGGGAAATAACTCTCAACTAAAAATAGAAACATTAAAAAAAATTTAAAAAAATATAACAGACTTCTAAAACAGAAAAAAGTGTAAAATAATTATGTTTTTTTATGTTTTTGTATTTTATGTAGGTTATGCAAACATTACTGTAGGTACTCCGTATTCTCTAAATAGGTATTTACTTACCATAGCTAGTTAGCTATAATAGCCCACAGGCAACTCCCCGAAGTATATGCCAGCCAGTGTCAGGATAACTGCTTTTTCGACAGCGCGACTGATGTGAGTGAGGCTTTTAAGTAGGTTAATTAAATAAATAAAAATGTTAGTTTGTAAATTGTTTATTGATTGTTTGTGTTCAATTGCGGTTTGCACTCTTAGTATTTAGAAAGTTATCAACAATAGGAATTGAGTCACTGCAGGGACAAGCACAAACGTCTATCAAAATAGTAACGTACCTAAACGGAATAGGACTAACAGCACAGACTTCCTTACAGAAGTCGAAAGAACACGTCTAGACAAGGTAAGTAATTAGAAGAAAACTACAATTTAGAGATCGATTGTAAATCAAATTCACAGTACAGACACAATTAGCGAAATATAAATAAAATTTTGAATTATTTTATGATAGTAGATAACGCTAGTTGAGAACTAAACACTGTATGGGAATGACATCACTGAACTTGTTAGGTGGTCAGTCCAAACAAATAAAAGGCGCGATTGTAGAGATTCGTTACGAAACGTTTTTTGGCTAGGGTGCTTGGCCTGTTTATGCTATTGATAACGAAGGCTATAAAATATGTACAAATTAGAAACTAAATCCTATGTGTACTTATCTGTATTCATAACCCAATATCCGAGGTAGGTTGTTGCGCTCCTTAATTTTTATATAGTTCGTATAATTCTGTAATCGGTAAATTAAATATATACTATAATACCATAGCAAAGCTACTACTATTTTATTTAGTAGTAGCTTATATAGTAGTATATTAAATTATATATAAAAATATGAGTATGTTTAAGGTAAGGTTAAATATAAACAAATATTTGCCAAGTGTGAATCCGACTTCCGTACCATCTTACAAGATTTATATATACTACATATTACTATCGATCAAAGAAGCCAAAAATACACGTTTCTTTTTCTAGTAGGAAACCCTTTAATTTCAAATTTATTTTTACAATATGCTGTTAAAGCGGCAACAGAAATACACGTTCTGTGAAAATTACAACCATCTACCTATTACGGATCATGAGATACAGCCCGCTGACAGACAGACACACGGACAGCGGAGGCTTCGTAATAGGGTCCTGCTGGTTACTCTTCGGGTACGGAATCCTAAAAAGTACTTAGTTGTCCACTCACATCTGTATGGTTCTTTCTTCAAAGGACCATTAGTCACCTGCCTGGTTCTCGTATGACATGACCAATGTAATACCTGGACTGACCTCTCTGAGTTTGTTTCGGCAGATCGGGTGCTTCTTTTAGTTTCATGTTTTTGTTGTTAAAGTGTTTAAAAAAAAAAACAACTTACAAAACAAATTTTATTTATCATTGACTGCCCTTCTTAGATTCTTATGTAAAAGTAAAGTAAAGTCAGCCTATATACACGTCCCACTGCTGGGCACAGGCCTCCGCTCATTTCTGAGAGGGTTTTAGGGCAAGTAATTGTCCGCCGCGCTGCCCCAATGCGTGTTGGCGAACTTCACATGTCTTCGAAATATATTTTTTTCTTATTTCTCTGACATGCAGGTTTCCTCACGATGTTTTCCTCCACCGCCGAGCACGTGGTAAATCAGCACTTAAAATTGCAATTAACAATTTCATTGGTGCCGGCGGGGATCGAACCCGGTTTGCTCGCGTACTGTGAAATTTAAAGCGAGCGCTAACCATCTGAGCTACCACGGCTCTTAATTCTTATGTACTTACATAAATTACATTAGGTATATTAGGATATGAGATTCTTATACGTAAGCACGATTATCGAAAATCTAAAAATTACCTATTCTAATTAAATTTATGGATAATTTTAAGATTTTCGACAATCGTGCTTATCAATGAGATGTTTTCGTTAGTTGACAAATTAAAGTAGTTAAGTACCTAATGTACTACCTGTATCGAAAGTTCATTATTATGTACCTACCTGTTTTCAATTTTAACTACATGTGCTTCAACAAACTTATGGGTACATTTTACCAGCTATATTCATCCCGGCTTCAGCAAGTGGACACGAACAACAGGAAGCAATTTTTCTAAATAAAGATATAGATATGTAGGTATTACAACCATAAATAGATAGCAGCGGCTAACCTAGTGAGCAGGTGTGCTCTGCGCCCCCCTCCGTCTGTCCCACTGATCGGGGAAACCATTTGTAGCGAAAGGCAAGATGATTTACAACAAAAAGGAGCGCGCGAAATTTTATAAACAGACCTTTGGAAGTCTGGATGTCATGAAAAATCTATTGAATGTATCTGTTCAAAATAAACAACTAATCTATCCCTGTATGGTAACTGTTTTGCAATTTTCGTTCTTCTTATGGTATTTATTTCCGCCCAAAGATGTGTTAAAATAGTGTTGAAATTCGGAATTTTCGACGCTTATAACTTTTAAACATATTCTTTTTTTACTTTTTTGTTTCCATACAGGGCTAGATAATGATGAGACAAATTGAAATCATTTTTTATTTTGTATGTACACCATCAAGCAGTGGAGTAATCGCCAGACTACGTTTGTATGGAAGAACGAGTGACTAGTGTACCCTTAATGGTCGAGTCTGAAGCATACTGAATTTCACCTTCGTCATCGCTTTCACTCGAAGAAGCTTTGATATTTTTTTAGGTTATCGTTTAGGTGTTTTTGCTGTCTTATTTTTAATAGAATGCTCAGGTTCTCTTGATGTGCTAGCCTGTATTTGTATATCTTCTGCAGATATGCTTTTACCCGCTGGTATATTGTGCTTCTTCTTTTGTCCTTTACCGCCTGATTCCACCACTCCTATTCTTTTATTTTCTAAAAATTGTATAAATGATTCTGAAACTAGTACCGGGTCTTGAAGTGGAGCGTCTGGATGTCTAAACGTACGTCTTTGACTGAACAGCATCACTTAAGTGGTATCTCTAAATTTTATTTAATAAATAATATTAATTTATCAATAATGTTTTTTTTTTCAGTTCCTGATGAAACAGACATATTTGTTCCTGCCCCTATATATTCTAAGTCCATGACCATGCCTTTGTCAATAGATGTAGATACAAGCGTACAAAATGATGATAAATCACAAGGAGACACAGCTGTATGTAACCTAAAAGCAATATTAAAATAATATATTCCAGTGTTGCCAACATTAAAATCTAGCTCCCGTTGTAGAGGACAATATAATCCCGTCAAATACGTTAGAAAAGTGTCAATCATTCATTCTATTGCACATTTTTCGTATTTTTAAACTAAAAAAATGAATAAATTTATAATTTGATTTTAGCCGTTTCCAAATTATTTTTATTTCGAAAACAAATCTAAAAAATATAAATTTTGCTGTCCCGTTAAAAAAATCCGTTAGCCGTTAAACACAATTTTTTCCCGTTGCCAACCTCGCTGTCCCGTCAAATCTAACGGGAAACCCGTCAAGTTGGCAACACTGATATATTCTAAAGTATTTCTTCTAAATTTTTATTGAGTCCGACTATTAGTTGAGTTACCTAACCCATTAAAAGTCTATTAAATAAGTTAGTAATTTTGTGAAAACATTACAAATTTATATTTTTATTTTAAAGGATTGGGGAGACTACACTCCAAAACTGCTGCAAACTCCAAAATCTGCACCTCTAGGGGCAATGAATAAGAGAGAAGAGGATGTAGGAACTTCTCTTACTCAAAGTAAGAATTGGAGTTCCAAGCGCAGACCGGCTCTACCATCTTCATCGCTAGAAGAATTTCTAAAAACAAAAAGAAAAGCTACCGAAATGCAGATTAACCTTTTGAGCGCCAAAGTCGTCTATACGTGACCAGCACCTGCGTGCCCTGAGCGCCAACGACGTGTATAGTTGACAAAAAACCCGGCCCACAAAAATATGAAATATAGACATTGGAAAATTATTACTGGTATTTTAATTCTACACCCCTCAAAAAAAGAATAACTCAGTAACATGTGAGTATATAAAACAAGTCTCCTAGAGCCACAAGTAGTAAGAAACAATGAACTAAAAAAAAATGGATTTTTATCTAAGCAAATACTATGTCCAGCACGCCAAAGTCGTCTATGTTAGACCGCTAGTGTTGTAATGCGTTAGGCATAAATTTATTGAAAACTATTCAAAATTAAGCTCAAACGTGTTATTTTTTTTCTATTATTATTGATATTTAGATAAAACAAAAGGTTAGAAATATAAAACTATAATTAGCTACATGAATTAAAAAAATATTATCAAATTATCTTCGCATAATAAATCTAATATCTCAACTCTGGCGCATCCTTAGCGAGACATCGAAAATCAGTTCACTGGGCGCCGTAGTCTAGTATAGACGACACGCTGATGACGTCATAAGCGATTAGCGGGAAAATTAGTGCAGTGCAACATGAACGATTCCTCAGCCTCAGAAATCATTCGGATTTTGGAAAGCGTCGACGATGATGAATTTTCGGAATCTGAATCATTACCTGAAGATTTAAGTGAGGTAAGTGTCTTAAGTTCCTAATAAATTAAACTTATTTTACTAACATGCATATTGCCTATTTTATGTATCTATTATTTTATAATATTTTGTTTAATTTTAAATATAATAAGTTCGATACATGATGGAACTGTTTCCCGGGCGACTCTTGTGAGCACATTTTTTAATGTTTTTGTTTTCGAGTTTAGAATAACGCATCATATTCGTTTACTTTTATACTGCAACTAGTAGATACTTTTTTCTGTCAAAAAGCGAATGGTAATATTGTTTAGCGAAATAAATATCTTAAGCCATATTTCACCATAATCCTTCCGAAAAGTAGGTACCGTGAGTAGACCATAAATCAACCTAATGAAAAAGCATTAAGGTCCAAAATAGTATATCGACTTTCTATCTTTCGGTATTACAATCGTTTCGAGTAGTATTGTGAGTAGACTAAAAATCAATGTAATGGTAAAACATTAAGATTTAAAATAGCGTGTCGACTTAGTACTAAATTGCTCTTTTGTTCTCGGCGGCGATGTTCTTTTTTTGTTACTAACACTTTCGCGTCTTACAGTATAGCCGTACAAAAGTTACCTACCTTAATAAATAAAAAAAATGAAAATATCCAAGTAGAAATAAATATATGCACATAATTTAGTACTTATATGTTTTTAGTGACAGTTTCAATAAAGGAAAAATATGTATTATACAATCCGTACCTGCTTAGCGATTTTATGAGTTGTTTTCTATTATTTTAATAATTTGATACATAATGTAGCGGCGTTTTATAATCGGCACATTATTAAGTTCCTGGCCGACAAATGCACCAAAAGCTTCATTTGCCATATTGAGTTTATTAATGTCGTCATGGACAGATGTTTGGGTGCTACTTTCAGACATCTCTAAATTTGTATTGGTCGATATGTCTTTTGTGGTGGTTGGGGAGTATTTTGCTTCAGACCAAGATTGAGAACATATAAATTCTGAATTTGAAGCATCAATACTAGGTCGTTTTGCTGGTAGACTGTCCGCCAGCAAAACGACCTTGACCTTGAGTTAAGTCTTCATCGAAGCAATAGTCTTCCGATTCAGGTACGATCATATTTACTGAAAATACATAATATATTTCTTACCAGATACTTACGTAATATACGAATTAGATATGTACAAAAAAAAGTATATAAATTTAAAATATTCCAATTTAACTTACCGATTTTATACTGACGATTTGCTATTATCCAAAATAAAAAAAAAACGAGAATACAGAATTAAATAAGTAACACAAGCACCGACTCACAGTCACAGCACACTATACGATCTACACGGTATAGGTACTTCAGCATGGACTATACCAAAGTACTGCGCCATAGGGATGTGTGTGTTTTGTTAATCGTATCTATTAGAAGAAGAGACAGTCGCGAACATTACGATAAATAGTTTAATATAATTACTTACAATAATGATAACTAAATTTTTAGGTACATTTTTCCTACCACGAGTAAATATATAAAATATAAAATTTTCGTTACTTGACAAACGGTCAATGTTTTAAATTAAATTTTTACCTTAACTACGTGAGGCGAGGATTACTCTTCAAAGCCCCTGAGATCGCCGGACTGCCAAGAACTCTCGTAACTTTTAAATGCTACTTGTATCTCAGCCTTAAATTGTGTATGTAAAAAGCAAAAAAATCAACAAATTTTCTGGTTTTACAGGTGAATAGCAGCGCTCACTAACATCAAACTGGACCTTCGACATCTCAGCAGGACCGTAATAGTAGTAGTGAGCCAGCACCATCGTTTCAATGGACTACGGAATCAGCTACACCCGAAGTTCCAGTCTTTGATGATTTTCAGTCTGGCTTTAATTTTGTCATATCCGAGGATATAAGTGAAATTAATGTGTTCCAATATTTTGTAGACACTGCGTTTATATCGATGGTTCTTGAAATGACCAATACTTTTCACAATTACTTTCTGTTAAATGTAAATTTACGAATGCATTCCCGTTTACAGAGATGGTATGATGTGACGGTTGCGGAAATTGCTCATGACTAGGAACCGTCATTTATCTATTGAAGAGCATTGGTCTAGTGATATATTACTCCAAGCACCTATATTTTCTAAATTAATGTCTAGAAACAGATTCTGTATGATTCTGGGGATGCTAATTTTTCGTTAAGGAACGAAGAAAATGAATTATTATCGAAGATAGCAAGATGTGTAAATCACGCAAGACAAAAGTTCAAAAGTTGCATAACACCGTTTAAGAATTTATGTATTGACGAAAGTGTACCTTTTAAAGGTCGGTTATCAATTAAACAATATCTGCCAAAAAAAAAAGAAACAGGTTTGGGATTAAATTATTTGTTTTGTGTGATGTAAAGACCGGTGTTATTATTGATTTTATTGTTTACTGTGGCGTAGCTACAGATATTGTTGACCCTTGTAATTTAGGCGTCGGGGGAGCTGTTGTTAATTCTTTACTCAAAGACTTCCTAGGCTCTAATCGACATTTATATGTTGATAATTGGTATTCAAGCCCTTCATTATTTAAATATCTTTACGAGCATGGCATATTTGCCTGTGGCACAGTAAACAAAAAAAGAAAAGGCATACTTAAGAGTAGACTCCAATTGCATGAAATGGAAGTGAAGTATTCTGCACCATTGATGGCACTGAAATGGAAGGATAAAAAATATATATACATATTGTCTACTATCCATGACAGTCACATGGAACCATCAATGAGAGAAAATAGGAATACTGGACTCTCTGTAATGATATCAAAAGCTATTTTAGATTACTCTAAAAATATGGGAAGTGTCGATACCGCAGACATGCTATTGTCGTCATTGCAGTGCATTCGTAAAACCGTAAAGTGGTACAAGAAATTATTTTTCCATATATTTGATATGCACGTTTTAAATGCGTTCTATTGTTTCAAACGAATTAAGGGTACGCCGAATTTAAAATTTTCTGAATTCCAACTGGCCGTCATTCGACAATTGATAGAACGGTACCACACTACTAATGTTTTGGAACAACCCAGGTCAATAGCAAGAAGCAGCAGCGACAATCCCCTTCGTAAAATACCGGAAAACGCAGCAAATCATATGCCGTCGCGAATGGGAAAATACCAAAGATGCAAACAATGTGCTACTAAAAAAGAACGTAAAAAAATACTCGTTTCACATGTAAAATTTGCAATGTTTATTTGTGTGCGGCGCCATGTTTTGAGCAATATCATGCCTAAAATTATCATGAAACCAAAGTTTTTCATTTTCGATTAACTCTACCTCAATGAGGTAGGAATACACTTTATAGTTTTTTACGGTTAATTTCTTTTTTATAGCATAGGGTAATAAACGAGCACGCAGTCCACCTGATGGTAAGTGGTTGCTGTGGCCCATAGACATTTACATCTATCCTCGATTACGAATCAAAATGCAGATGCGCTCTCACCCGTGAGGACTTAGATGGAATGCCTCGTTTCCAGTAAAGAGGGTCTCCGGTTCTCTACACTTGCCATACGAAATACAGCAGCATTAAGCTACTATTTGACGCCGGTATTCCGTGAGAGCGTGGTTCTTCCCCGGTTGAGCCGACCCATTCGTGCTACAACTACTTTCTCGTAATATAACTGCAGCATGGCTCTACCACGTTAGAAAACTTGCTTTGGACCTATAATTTATTAATTATTTTTAATTGTTGTTTTCTATATTAAGTACTGATTGAGTTAAAGACCAAGATTTTAATATTTTAAGACTAGACCTAGGGTAAATAATTATTTACAATTGTTGATTAGTGAATAATTATGTACCATTTGTTGATTTCTGTAATAAGTACAGATTTTTTATTCCTTGACCAAGATTTTAATATTATAAGACTGATTTTTCTAGTGTGAATAATTATATACATTTGTTGATTTGTCTATAATTATGTACCATTTGTTGATTTTTATAATAATTACTGATTTTTTATTCCATGACCAATATTTTAATATTATAAGACTGATTTTTCTAGTGCGAATAATTACCTATATACAATTGTTGATTAGTGAATAATTATGTACCTTTTTTATTTTAATAATATATAATTACAAATAATAAATGTGTTTTCTTTACTTAAGGTATGAAGAGCAATTTTTCATTTTGTGTTGTGCGATTTCTCTTCTCAATTTCAAAATCATTTAGCAACATCAGCATCATATGAAACCCCCATTGTCATAAGAGCGTAAGACTTTTCTTCTGTGATTCACTTGGCCTACGCCTCGCCATAAAATATTTAGAATCGATGTCTGTATATTTTGGTTAGATCGATTTTGAAATCGATACACAACGTGCGACACGCCCTTCTAAAATTAAAAAGAAAGGTCAGCTACGCCGTTGTCGTCGTGATGACGTCATCACGATGGAGAATAGTGTTGTGGTTTACTACTATTTTATTGTTATTGTTTCTTTTTTTATTTATGTACAAAGTACATATATAAAAAGAGTGGAAGACAGCACAAGATTAAATAAAACATACCCGATTATAAAGAGTCATTTATTGTATAAAAAACCAACAAAAACAAGTTATTTTGTGTTATCGATATATCAACTCTTGGCAGCACTGTTTTTTTCGTAGGTATTTTTGTTTACTTTTCGCTTTGGCGTACAGGACACGGTAGTGAGTTTTTCGCGTGGCGCTCAAAAGGTTAATTTTGCTGCTGAAGAGAGTGAAGAAACAAGAAAATTTTTTGAGATGGACTTGAAAATCAAAAATGAAATTTTAAAGCAGGAGTAAATAAAAACTAGGTTATTACTATCACAATTAAGGAGGAGAAAACAAAAATAAAACTATGACTTAATAAAAACATGGTTTTATTATTTAACTTTTTTCTCACTATAAACTAAATAAGATTCCTAAAGTGAGTTTATTAGGAGTTCTCTGGTTCTATTTCGCTAAGGAGTACTCGATTGTTCACACCTTATTTGCCCCTTTTGTAAGAGCGCCTCCCAGGTGCTGGAAGAACAAAATCTGGATCATCAGGTGGAACTGTTTCTCCTCGTTGACACAATATGTTATGCAGCACAGCTGTTGCCATAATTATAACCAAGGCTTTGTCTAATTTAACTCGTAGTCCTACAGCTAGTACTGGAAATCTTCGTTTCCAAACCCCACAAGACCTTTCAACAGGGTTTCTTGTCCTGATCTGCGACTCGTTGTACAGTTGCTCTACTGCTGTTCCAGGGTTCTCTAGTGGGGGGGGGGGCATAGAATAGAACGTAGCAGCATATCCACCATCTGCAAGTAAAATTGCTTCACCATAATCACCAGCTTAAAATTTTGCTTTACGGCAGCAATTAATAAATATAGTACTATCATGTGCTGACACAGGCCACCTTGTGACAATATCAATAATTTCCAAATTTACATTACATATAGTCTGGACATTAAACAGTTCTGCCTGATCACCCCCGGGTGAAGAAATTCTGACATGTGTGCAGTCCTCATTGTCCCTATAACTCTGGAATCTTGCTATACCATTAAACTACCTTTGATTTCGTCGAATTCCCTGTTGAGTATTCGGAAATTTTATGTACTTGTGGTCCAATGACGCTATGGCAACACTAAATCTATGTATTATTCTATGTGCTGCAGGTGTGCTGAGCCCACTAAAATCCCTGATCGTTAATTGTGAATTATTCGTAGCATGAAATCTTAGTGTTGCCAAAAGCTGATTAATCGGAGAAATTGATTGATTCCTGTAAACAAAAACAGTTTTTATTTAGAGCAATCCATTGCCGTATTATGTACCTACGAACAGTATAAATAGATACTGTTGCGCGCTCCAATGCCTCAAATCGGCGCACTAGCGCCATCTAGTCTCGAACCGAAGAACTAAACTTCTTGAAGTTTAAAACTCGAATTCTCGGTACCTTGCGCGTGTTTACTTGAACATTCTGGATATTTGTGCTAATTTATATAAGTAGGCGCTGCAAGATGCGATCGAGGTAGTATTGAATTGGCGATACGAGCGAAGCTTCGGAGCGAAATTAAGTGAATTAGTGTGCTTAATTATTAGTGTTTTAAGATTTAATTTGTTTAAAGTAAATTAAAGTGTTAATTTAGGTAATTTTATCGGCAATTTTTATTGTCACGAACCGCAAGCTCGTAACAATACAAAGATTCACCTCTCAGATATAAATTCCAAATGATCTTCAATTTTGATAAAAAGGTTATGAGCTGGTACTTTAGATAACCGAAATTTTATCTTAAAATCTTCGTCTTAAATGGACGTCTTACAACATAGGTTTAATCTTCACTATCATCACTGTCACTGTTGTTAATGATTCTTCTCAAACGTTGCATTATGTAAAGCTATATATACTCTCAATAATAATTAAACTAATTTGTTAACCAAAAAACAATTCAAGAACAAGAACTTGGACGTACGCGACAGTCTATTCAAACAATTAACAGCTGACAGCCTGTCGGCCATTTTCAACCGAAGAGTAAATCCGTATTCCTTCACAATCGGGAGTATAAATCATCTCTTGGTTAACTATTTATTCTTGGGTTAAATTGTTGTTTAAATGTAAAATTTGATATCCCAGAATAATTTATATCATTATTCTTGGAATAAAACTTATTTGAGTTTGGTAAAATCGGCCCTTAGCCTCAAAGGATTTATTCGTGAACGTTTTGCGGTTATCACGAGTCCAGTTGTGAAAAATACGCTCTCGCTCGGTATATTCAAAATTGATCGTGCAAAAGAGCATACAGTGATGGCATAGAAGTTTTCCTGTCTTTCCAGTACTGTAGAACGTCTCCACGGTAAGGATCTAAATCTTCAGGACATGCTGTAGTGAAATATTTCCAGCATTCAATTTCTACAGCACTCCCGGAACCACCTTGAGTGGTGCTATGTTTTCGCGCCTAATCCAGAAAAATGTTTGAAGAACTAGCAGAAGAAATCGGCAAGTGACTTCTGACCATTGTTGATAAGAATGAAACCTTAGTGACTTCTCTTTTTTGCATGAATTCATCAATTTCAAGAATGGCAAGAAATCTACAATCAAGCAAAGTTGCCGCAACGACGACATCGGTTAAAGGAAATCGGGATTCCAGACCCTCAAGCATGTTATTTTTGAGACTAGCTATTACGAGAGGCTCATCATCATTCGCTTCTTCAAGCAATCTTTTCACTTCTGACCGAAACACTAGAACCATATTCATAGTACGTTGGGTTTCTGACTTAGAACTTCAACGATTTTCTTAAAATTCTCTAGAAACTGTATCAGAGCCTGAATGGTTTCGTATTAATTTGGTATCTTGTAATACGAGATTACCTCGTCCTATTTCGTTGAGAAGTGTGTTTATAGGCTGTCGATTTGCGTCATTATAAATGCTTTTTAGCATCATCAAAATGCTATGCCATCTTGTGCTTGTACTCGTTTCAATGGTCGAAGGGGGCTGCAAGCACTGTCTAGAGCTTGAAGCTCTTTCAGGCATCTCAGTTTCGGATTCAAAGTCGGTTGAGTCGGCATTTTCCAGATTTTTGGCGAATTCTTCAAATTCTTTAATAGATGAAAGCATCTGTTGCTGATCTGCAGATGCAGCGGCTTCAACACGAGGTTCCCTGTATCGAACATGCTTAATAAGCCTTTTGCATTCTGTCAAAATTTTGGATATTTCTATGGATATTTATTTGCGTTTTCGATGCCATTTACCTTGAATAGATTATATTAACCATGGCCAATGCAGAGGTGATTATCAAATGCTAATAAGTTTGCAGCTCGTTTCATATTACTACCTGAATCCGTGACTAAATAAATTTCTTTTTGGTCTATTTTAAAACTGCGCAACACCTCCATAATTTCGTCACGGATTGTTTCGCCCCTGTGTTTCTTGGTTACTTCTTTGATAGCCAGTGTAAATTTGGTCTTCAGATATAAAATGGTACGTACAAGTAATATAATTTCTCCGTCTGTATTTATCGGTCCACATATCGGCAGTCAAGGCACCGAAGTGAGGACTTTGTTTCGAAATGAAAGCATTTTTATATGCCAGCAAACTGTTGTACACATCTTCCAGTACTTCTCGTGCTGTATTGTGTCTCGATGGCAAGCCTGCGTCGGAAACAATGACGCTCAAATTTTTTTAAAAGTTGATCATTGCATCATTGTCTACAGTATCAAATGGCATCAGTGACCTAGCAAACCAAAGAGTCAAATCTCGGGACCATTTATCGCTATTCTTACTACTTACGTATCTGATTCTGCCACTGGTTTTTGGAGTAAAAAACTCTTTTATGCTCGAAGTTCATGCTTTAAATGTATAACCATGTGTATCTTTTAAATGTCTGAGAAGATTACTTGTGGCTATGCTTTTACCGTAAGCTTTCACTATGACCCGGAAATTAAATAAAAAATAAAATTATTACCTAAACGCTTAATAAATTAAAAATGCTGAAATTTAAAAAAATAGCGCTGAAATTTCATCACAAAAAAAATAGGCAAATTCATTCAATATGAATTTGCCTATTTTTTTTTTTTTTGAAATAAAGATGAAATTCCAGTCTACCATGAATATTAAACAAAAGTAGATCCTAACTTATTTTCAAAACAAATCACACTCGTCTTCATTTTCAGCCTATATTAGGCACACTGCACAAAACACATTTTCACCTAGCACAGTCCTTCGTTTTCTGTTTACTTCTATCGCTAGTTGACCAAATTCAGTCTAGCAAAAACTATGCTTATGTTTTGTGGAAAGATTTTTCGTTGGAGTCACATAAATATTTTTGATTTTCATTTTATAAACATCAATATTAGACGAATTAGCTGCCATTATTAACGGCACTCAACAATACACGATCACTCGGTAAAATACTCGACTCGAATGTGTTGAGCGCTGATCGACAAGCGTGGCCAGGCAATTAGGCGAATGCAGTCGGGCCGCGCGTGCGAGCCAGAAAGCAAGTTGCGACTAGTTGCGACGGCGCGCCGCGTGCTTTACTTGGCGACGACGCGTCGACATGAACTTACGGCGAGGGCGGCGCGCCGGTGCGGCGCTCATATCTACAGTGGACACCTCCACCGAATTCATCACATTACCAAAAGATTTCTGTCACATCACAGACTCAAAAGAGGAGCTTATTCAGCGTGTTTTCCCAGATATAGCGCAACAGTTCAATAACCATAATTGGCTGGGAGAACGAGCAATTTTGGCGGCGAAAAATAAAGATGAGGATCTCAATGCGACCATTCAAAATTTTCTTCCGGGACAGTTGGATTCCTTCAAATCAGCCGACACCGTTATGAACCAAGATGACGTTGTCAACTATCTCATGGAGTTTTTAAATTCACTGGAATTGCCTGGATTACCACCTCACAATTTGCAGTTAAAAGTAGGATCAGTTATCATCTTTCTGTGTAACATTAATCAACCTCCGACTGCAATGGAACAAGACTGGCTGTGAAAAAGGTGATGAATAACGTCATTGAGGCAACAATGATAAAGGGAAAACAAAAAGGAGAGGATGTCTTAATCCCGCGTATACCGATGATACCAACGGACATTACCATTCGATTTTAAACGTTTACAATTTCCAGTATGTCTGGCCTTTGCGATGACCATAAATAAGTCGCAAGGCCAGTCGTTGGAAGTTTGCGGAATCAACGTCGCGTGTTCGCGCGTCGGAAAACCGTCATTTATTTACGTACCACAAAACAACACAAAAATATAGTTTATCAGAAATCTTTAAATTGATTAACAGACTGTATCATAATTGTGTGTGTATGTCAATATTAAATTGAAATCTTACAAATAGCCAGTATTTCTGAAAAACTCTAATTTGTAAATAAGCAACATCATGTGTAATTAATCGAAAATAATATATAATAAAATTTCATTCATACCGAGCATTTTTTTATTAAATACGGATTCCTTTTGTTGGTTTTAAGTTTATTTTATTCAAAAGTTTAGGTTTTTTATTTATTTATTGAGGCAGTACGAATTCTGCCGGGTCAGCTAGTAAATATACTGGGTGGCGACCAGTTTATCACGTTTTTAGTGTTGCCCAAAATCGGTCTTGGTCTTGCAGTCTTGGTCTTGCAGTCTTGGTCTTGCAGTCTTGTTCTTGCAGTCTTGGTCTTGCAGTCTTGGTCTTGCAGTCTTGGTCTTGTTCTTGCATTTTTGCAAGACCAAGACCAAGAACAAGACCGCCTAATTTTAGCAAGACCAAGACCAAGACTGACCGTGCAAGATTTGAGGAAGAACAAGACTAAGCCTGCGAGACTCTTGCGTCTTGCAGTTAGGAATGAGTGTCGTTTCAGGGAGTATAGGACTTCGGGTATACGCTTAGGGACTCTATGAAACGCAAAAATTATATTAAAAAAAATTTGGAAAATTGGACTTATGCGCATTACGAACAATATCATAAACATACATAGCGGATGAAAATATCCATTAAAAGAAAAAACAGTGCATCCCTAGTTTTGACTATCGGCACTTTGATAGTGCGCGGCGTCTTGTTGTCGGCATCATCAAAGGTCGAATACTGACCTGTCAAAGAAATTTTGCAGCTATTCGGAAGTACAAGGTCAAGATACACGCGCCGGCGGCTTCTATTGATATCGCATTCAATCGTCGCCGCCGCGCCGCACGCACTACATTCGACACTGTTTGAATGCCGCCACAGAGTACATGTTCCAAAGAATAAAATAAGTTTCCGGGTGCTCAGAATGGACACGAATACACTATTCTGATCTCGCAAGGAATATTGTAATTAGATAATGATAAGGATAGGTAGATACCATAATAATTTATTCTAGTAAGTAATTATTATAATATTAACTATATGGGTTTATAATAATTACTTACTATTATTATTATTATTACCGTAAAACGGGGTGAATAGGGATCGCGAGGTGAATAGGGACAAAATCAGGAATGAAATTGGCACGCGATTTTAACAAAATAAAAAACATACAAATTGGTAGGAATTATTTTGTCATGTAGTAGAATATATGATTTTTTTCGTGGCAACACCTATCCATAGTGAAGTTTGCAACAAACGGTCATAATTTTCATACGAAAACGAACGGTTACAGTTGTGCTTTTATATGCCCTCAAAACTTGGGTCATAATTTGAAAACTTGTTGTGTTAACGTAGCAAAAGTGTTTTTAAATTGAAAATCGTTTATCCCTAGAGATCCACACAAGAAGGTAAGTCTTAATATAATGTATTTTTGGTTAAATGTTAAAATATCTAAAAGGTTAAAAGAAACAGCAGAAGGGCGAATAGGAACGCTCTGAGTCTTAAAAGAAACGCAAATACAAGTAAATAGGGATGCTTATGGGTATACTTGAAACAGTAAAGTTTGAATAGGGACAGGGTTGTCGCTTTATAAATATATACAATATTTCTACTAGAGATTCGGGTCGGCTTTGTTCGGATTTAATTGACTACAGAAAAAAGGTCTCATACAAACTTTTATTCCGTATTTTACACACTTAGGGGACTCATTTTGAAAAATGTTTCAAGCTGCAATAGTTCCAGCTCTGCGTTGATAAGTCAATTAGTCAGTAGCTCTTTATTAATAATATTAGTATAGATAAATTTAAATTGTTTAAAAATTGGTTGTTTACAATAGGTCATATAATATAGGTTCCATTTCACCTACTGTAAGCAACTAATTTTTATTATATTTTGTTTCAGATAGCTATGCCTCGCACATACAAACCACGGGCTAGACAATATAAAAAATACGATGAAGAGACGATAAATATTGCACTTAGAGAATACGAAACATCAAATTGTTCGTTGACAGATATTAGTGCAAAATATAATATTTCTAAATCTGTTTTACACAGGCAAAACACAAGATTCATGAAGAAGCAAGGTGGTCAGACGGTATTAACTGACGAGGAAGAAGCATATATTATAGAAAATATAAATTATTGTTCTGAGTGGGGATATCCGTTAGACACCTATGATTTGCGAATTTTGGTTAAAGGATACTTAGATAGTATAGGTGTGAATATAAAAAAGTTTAAAGATAATCTACCAGATCCTGACTATGTAAAAAGTTTCCTAAAAAGAAACCAAGACAAAATTTCACTAAGAATAAGTCAGAACATTAAACGATCACGCGCGACAGTTTCACGCGAAGTTGTAGAAGAATATTTTACTCATCTTGAGAAATCTATAGCAGGAGTACCTTTATCTAACATAATAAATTATGACGAGACGAACCTCTCGGACGACCCTGGTAGGAGAAAAGTTCTTACAAAAAGAGGTGCCAAATACCCAGAGAGGGTCATGAACCACAGTAAAGCCTCAATATCATTAATGATGGCAGCATCTGCGGATGGTGTACTTCTCCCTTGTTATGTGGTGTACAAAGCAAAACATTTGTACGAATCTTGGATTGAGCAGGGGCCAAAGGGGTGTCGATACAATTGTACCTCGTCTGGATGGTTTGACAGTAACACTTTTGAGGATTGGGTTCGTACCATCGCATTATCATATTTTAATGGCAAAGACGGAAAGAAGATTCTCATTGGAGATAATCTTTCATCCCATTTATCTTTGGATTTGATACGAGAACGCAAAGAAAAAAACGTGCATTTCATTTTCCTTCCTCCAAATTCAACACACTTGACGCAGCCTCTAGATGTTGCATTCTTTAGACCCACCAAAGGAGCCTGGAGAGATACTTTATTTTTGTGGAAAAAAACTGAAGGCCGAATTTTGCCGACCATTCCCAAAAGTGTTTTTCCCAGTCTACTGAAAAAATTGATCAGTCGCATAGAAGGTCAAGCTATGTCTAATATATTGGCAGGGTTTATGAAAACTGGCATAAGTCCATTAAATAAAAAAAAAGTTCTCGAAAGATTACCAGGAAATATTGTTCGTGATGAGGAAAACTTCCGTAAAGATGCTATTGATGACACAGTTATTGCCATGTTAAAAGAAATGCGATATGGCAATAATAATAACAAATTGTCTTATAGAAGAAGAAAAAATTGAAGTAAAGCCTGGTCAAAGTGTTTCCACCGAGACTCAACCAAAAGAGTAAAATGATCAAGAACCAAGTAGATATATTAGTGAATCTGATTTAGAGAAAAGCGAAGAACCACCGCAAAGCATTAAAGCTGACCTTAACGTCATTAGTTCTAACAAAAAAAATGAAGTCCTTATGCATTATAAAATTGCAAAACAGATCCCATCCAGAAAGGAAAAGGAAATTTGAAGCAAAATATGCAATAATGAACAATAGTTTGAACACTGTGACAACAAAGGCAGCACAGGAAGAAGATCTAGAGCTATTAATTAACAAAATGGAAGTAAAAAAGCGAAAAACTATCCCTCAAAATTCTAAACAATCAATAAGTAAACAACAAGTGAAAACTATTGAATTAAGCAAAAATATAAACAAATATGAAAATCCGAAAGACGTGTTCAAGAAACCATATGAAGTAGTGAAGAAATACAAAGAAATGAACAAACAAGAAAAAAAAACTCAAATAAAAAATTCAGAAAAAGAGCTTGCTAACTATTTTCAACTTAAAGAAGAAGCAAACGAACTTGACATTGAGAACATGCCTTTATTATTCGAAGATGATTTCTGCTTGCAAAAGGATATAGAAATATGTGATACATACTTACCGATAGATTCGGAAATTGAGCAAGAAACCCAAGAAAAAATAAGGATAAATATTAATGAAAAAATAGAGGCAGTAGAAACAAGTAAGGTAAATACGAAAGACAAGATAATTATAACATCAGCTGTAAATTTTGGAACCAAAGAAAATATTAAGATTGACTTAAAAAATATGAAGAAAATGGCTTTGACTGATAAAATTAATCGGAACTCTAAAGCAAGAAATAGAAACCATTACTTGAAAGATGAAGAAATATTACAAGATCTCATGGATTATAATATTAATTAGGTTAAATTATACTAACTTATGTAAAATATATTATATAAATATATTATAAATAGCTTCAAACTCTAGTCGGGCTTTGTCAGACTCTTTTGATTGAGTCTCGGTGGAAACACTTTATATTTATAAATGGATAATATATATAATCAAAAAATAAAAAATTAAGTAATATTACGTACAATTATTACTTAATTTTACTTGCAAATTTTATTAACAGTTGATTGTTAAGTTGATAAATTATTTTGTTTGTTAGAGGAGTTGTTTGTTTCTTAAGAAATTAAATTGTTTAAGTTTTAACTTTTTACTTATTGACGATAAGTGTTGGTTAGTTTCAAATAAATATATACCTTTCTCTACTGTATATATTTTTATTTACCTATCCTCTTCAAAATATGCTACTGACTTAAAATTGATTATTAAGTCTAAGTTGCATAAACCTTCACCCAATCTCGTTTTAAATGTTTGACAACCCTGTGCTTTTTTCCCTATTAACCCCATTGTCATCCCTGTACACCCCGGTTCAAGTATAAATAGGAATAGCATATATTTCGTTTAATATCATAATGTATAACAATATTTTAGTGATTTTTTTTGACATTTTCGGAAAATATACGTAGGCGGAGAAAATAAGAAGCAGTCATATATGTCATATCTGTACAATAATATTGAAATTTTTTTGTGTGAAGTTCGATTTTGTGCCTTTTCACCCCGTTTTACGGTACCTAATAGATAAACATGTTCAATAAGTTCACTGCAAATCTCGATTTTTGGAAGTGTATGTTTTTGAACACAAAGTGTTCGAATATGTCGTCCACATTTGATAAATATTGTAGACACTTTTAACACACTTGAAACTTAATCGAATAATATAAAAAGTGTGCATATTAAATAAAAAGCGTAAAATAAGATCTATGTACATTTTAGCAGCCCGAGTATCTCTTAGAACCGTTTAATGAAATTGATTGCATCGAATTGATGTAAATAATAGTGATTTGCACAATTTTAATAGTAGAAATAAAAATAAAATCAAAATACCTGCTTTCCGTTTACACAAAGTATATAATGCGTTCTTGGGTAGCGATATAGCTTTTATAATAAGATTCCAAAAGAAATGTTAGATCTTTCACCTTTTCAATTTAAGTCAGACAAAAATGCTTGAAACTGACCTCTCGTACTACACAGGACTAACTAGAAATTTCTAAACCGATTTGGTATCTACATATACATTTGACATTTTATGTTTGACTTATCGCTTTACATAATTATAGAACTATTGTAAAAATATTTTGAAAAGAGCAACTACTGAGTTTCTTACTTTCTTGTTTCAGATAGCTATGCCTCGCACTTATAAACCACGAGCTAGACAATACAAAAAATACGATGAAGAGACTATAAATATTGCACTTAGAGAATACGAAACATCAAATTGTTCGTTGGCAGATATTAGTGCAAAATATAATATTTCTAAATCTGTTTTACACAGACACAACACAAGATTCATGAAGAAGCAAGGTGGTCAGACGGTATTAACTGACGAGGAAGAGGCATATATTATAGAAATTATGACGAGGCGAACCTCTCGGACGACCCTGGTAGGAGAAAAGTTCTTACAAAAAGAGGTGCCAAATACCCAGAGAGGGTCATGAACCACAGTAAAGCCTCAACATCATTAATGATGGCAGCATCTGCGGATGGTGTACTTCTCCCTTGTTATGTGGTGTACAAAGCAAAACATTTGTACGAATCTTGGATTGAGCAGGGGCCAAAGGGGTGTCGATACAATTGTACCTCGTCTGGATGGTTTGACAGTAACACTTTTGAGGATTGGGTTCGTACCATCGCATTATCATATTTTAATGGCAAAGACGGAAAGAAGATTCTCATTGGAGATAATCTTTCATCCCATTTATCTTTGGATTTGATACGAGAATGCAAAGAAAAAAACGTGCATTTCATTTTCCTTCCTCCAAATTCAACACACTTGACGCAGCCTCTAGATGTTGCATTCTTTAGACCCACCAAAGGAGCCTGGAGAGATATTTTATTTTTGTGGAAAAAAACTGAAGGCCGAACTTTGCCGTCCATTCCCAAAAGTGTTTTTCCCAGTCTACTGAAAAAATTGATCGGTCGCATAGAAGGTCAAGCTAGGTCTAATATATTGGCAGGGTTTATGAAAACTGGCATAAGTCCATTAAATATAAAAAAAGTTCTCGAAAGATTACCAGGAAATATTGTTCGTGATGAGGAAAACTTCCGTAAAGATGCTATTGATGACACAGTTATTGCCATGTTAAAAGAAATGCGATATGGCAATAATAATAACAAATTGTCTTATAGAGGAAAAAAATTGAAGTAAAGCCTGGTCAAAGTGTTTCCACCGAGACTCAACCAAAAGAGTCTGACAAAGAGAATGATCAAGAACCAAGTAGATATATTAGTGAATCTGATTTAGAGGAAAGCGAAGAACTACCGCAAAGCATTAAAGCTGACCTTAACGTCATTAGTTCTAACAAAAAAAATGAAGTCCTTATGCATTATAAAATTGCAAAACAGATCCCAGAAGAAAGGAAAAGGAAATTTGAAGCAAAATATGCAATAATGAAAAATAGTTTGAACACTGTGACAACAAAGGCAGCACAGGAAGAAGATCTAGAGCTATTAATTAACAAAATGGAAGTAAAAAAGCGAAAAACTATCGCGATATACGCTTTTATAATAAGATTCCAAAAGAAATATTAGATCTTTCACCTTTTCAATTTAAGTCAGAAAAAAATGCATGGAACTGACCTCTCGTACTACACAGGGCTAACTAGAAATTTCTAAACCGAATTGGTATCTATATATACATTTGACATTTTATGTTTGACTTATCGCTTTACATAATTATAGAACTATTGTAAAAATATTTTGAAAAGGGCCACTACTGAGTTTCTTACTTTCTTCCATGATTCTTCTCAGTAGAATCAGAACCCCTGGACATGGAAAAGAAAAAATTGGGGAAAACAGTGATTATATGACTATTCAAAAGTGTATTTTTAATGCCTACTTGAATAAAACATATTTGAATTTTGAATTTCAAACGAGTGAAGGCAAATTTAATTTAATTAACGTAGATTAATTCAATCACAAGAAGAACATAATATACACAATTTTATTTACATATTTACATTTCATTTTTACGTAGGCACACTATACCTATCTGGCAACGCACCTACTTCATTAATCTTCTGAAGAATCATTAATTTTATCAAAGGATGCCGAACTTTCCTTTGTCGATCTTTCGGCGTGTACTTACAAATAGTAGTATTTATTTTAATTCCAGTCATTCCCAATTGAGCTTTGCTTCGAGTCTAATGTATTAATTGTTTTTACTCTAATCCTTGTTGTTCTCGGAGTGATAAGTTTATAATTTTACATGAGTGACGAAGTGTCGAATAGTTCTAGTCGGAGTAATGAGAGTTGGTAAATTTGATGAGTTTTTCGACATAATTCATGCATCCCAAATTGCTTTGTGTAAATTATGCCAACATAAAAAGGTTGAAATCAAAATGAAAAACAGAAACACTTCAGGCTTAAGGAAGCATCTAATATCTTTCCACAAAAAGGAATGACAAATATTTCTTCCTGAAAAACCAAAATTAAGTAGAGATATCACAAGCTTTTTAATAACCGCCGGAAAAAGTGCACAGGTAAGAAAAAATATACTTATCACACAATAACATAACAGATATATTATATAACTAGCGGCCGCCTGCGACTTCGTTCGCGTACAATATCTGATTTCCTATGAGATTTTGAAATTTTCTCGCTGCAAAAGTCTTAAGTATAAAGAGGCTGTATAGGTAAAGCTTAACTATGCAAGTATTATTTAAAACTAATAAAGTAAATGTCGATCTTCATATCTATACTTTAAAAATATAGGACTTGCATGTAACCATTTTACCCCAATTTCATCCCCTTAGGGTTAGGATTTCGTAAAACAGCTTATTCAGGATTTTATTATTAAAAACTTATAACTTTAATGCCGATTTTCGTGTCTCTAACTACAAAAACGTAGGACTTTCATACAAACTTCCAACTCCCATTTCACTCCCTTAGGGATAGATTTTCTCAAAACCGTTTCTTAACTGATCTCTATGCCATAAAAGGAACCTACTTTACAAACTTCAAGTTTGTATGTTTTATAGTTCCTGAGATATCGTTATAGTCAGTCAGTGAGTGGTATATATAAATTATATATATATATATATATATATATATATATATATATATACATATATATACATATATATATATATATATGTATAGATTATAGTGTTAAATATGTATTTATAATTCACTCATATTTTCATTTGTTTTTATAATCGGCGAGACACATGATTTACTGTTTTATTTCAGTCTGAAAATAGCAGTGACAACATCACGACAGCTACAGTTGATTGGATGGTTAAAAAATATCTTTCCTTCTCATTTTTCGATGACGAAGCTACACAAGTATATTTTCGATCAATTTGCCCAAATATGGTGTTTCCTAAAAGGTCCACACTTAGAAGGAAGGTCAAAGAACGGTTTGAAGAGCTTCAATTGAATCTTAAGAAACGACTACAACAATTTTCATCTGAAATGTCATTTACCATTGATGGATGGACGTCAATTGCTGGTAGGAGTTACTACGGGGTCACTATTCATTATATAGACAACGAATGGAAGTATCGATCTGTAGTCCTTGATTTTATACCATCACGCGGTCGACATACCGGGGAAGATATTGCAACGATTTTCCACGAATGTTTATTGGAATATGACATAATTGATAAAATACAGGGTACCACGGTCGACAACGCAACTGCAAATACCAAATTTATGTATGAATTGGACAAACAGCTGCCACACTTTGATTCAGACAATCAACATTTCCGGTGCTTTGCTCACATTTTGAACCTTGGTGTACAAGATTTATTAAAGACCTTAGCATTACACAGTGAAACTGACAATAAGGGACAAGAATAGCAGTATAAAGATAATGAAGACGAAACTGAGGAAGATGAAGAATATGCGCCAAATATTGCTGACTCACGTACAGCTATAACAAAATTACGCAGTATTTCCAGTAAAATAAAAAGAAGTGAGATATTGAAGAGGAAGTTTCAGTCTGCTTGTGAAGCAGCTGGCGTGCCATCAAATCTGAACCCCATACTCGACTGTCCAACGAGATGGAATTCCACACATGATATGATTGGATTTGGTTTAAAAGTGAGAACTGGCATTAACATATTGTGCAAATACTCGAAAAAATACATATGTTTCTAATAAACTTTAAACTTCTATCAACGAAAATTGGTGGAAAAAAATATGTTACATTACCGCTAGTCATTGTATCATTCAATCTCTTGCTCGATAAAATTGAATCCATGGTAAAACAATTAGATGAGAAACCTAATCGATCCGAAGTAGATGAAAGGCTCATTCTGGGTTTTCAAGCAGATCGAGACAAAATGCTTAAACATTATAAAAAGAGAAACTGGATTTATTGTATCTCTAATTTTAGACCCAAGGCATAAGACTCAGACTTTTTACATGACATTATGGGGGAAGCAAATTAAAACAGAAAGCCTGCGCAAATTTAATGAACTTTATAAAGAATATAAAAGTCTACACTCAGTGAATACATCTCTAGAATCACCAAGAAATGAAAAGAAAGTATGTGAATATGATGAAGATGAAGACGTAATAGACTTTGAGAAATTGTATGCATGTCCCTCGACATCATCTGGATCTGGATCTTTTCATCAAGGCTTTTAGTTATAGACGAGTTGGAGGAGTACCTAAGTAAACCCAGAGCCGCCAGTTCGGAAGACATTTTAGAGTGGTGGAGGACGCATGAGACAGAATATTCGACTTTATCGAAGATGGCCCGTGATTTTCTTTCAATACCTGCAACTTCAGTACCTGCTGAGAGATTATTTTCTAAAGCATCATTAGTAATTAGAAAACATAGAAATAGGTTAAGTGATGAGTCAGCCAGATGGTTACTTTTTATTAACTTTTGATCAAAAGAATTAATATAAAGTAACAGTAATAAATAAATAAAGCTGTTGTGTACTGTTATGTAATTTAATTTGTATTGTATTTTATTTTTTTATTTAAATAAATGGTAATTTGTATAACTCTTTTATTCCAATTCAAATAAGGGTCTATCAATCTCTTTCTAGACAGATAATGTTCTTTATAATACAGTCAAGTTAATGTCATTAATTTGTTTTTATATGTTTTGACTAGGTTTTAGCACATGTAAGCTTATTAAATGAAAACGTTTATTAAGAAACAGACTAACTGCCGTGGACGTGAGACTTGGTAGACAGATCAGTTGGTTAGAGCATCGGCACGGATCGCTTAGGTCGTGGGTTCAAACCCCACCCGGTATTAGTTGATTTTTCGAATTTCTCATTAAATGTTTAGACATTTATTAATTTGGTTGGTCTTTCTATGGCTATGTTAATTCAAGCTCAAAATGTGCCTTCTCTGTTAAGTTGTTCTAAGATCGTATATTAGTAAGATAAAGTAACGTTTAATAAATAACAATAGGCTAATAGGTAATTGCGAGACTTGCGAGACTTGCTGCAAGACCAAGACCAAGAACAAGACTGAGAGCGCAATACCAAGACCAAGAACAAGACCAGGTGTATTGGCGCAAGACCAAGACCAAGACTGGCTAAGTCTCGTCTTGTTCTTGCATTTGGGCAACACTACACGTTTTATAACACAGCAGTTAATGCAATAAATGCAAGGATTCCGTTTCCGGTGATCGTAAAGTGAACACGCACGTCAAAGTCTTCCGCAAAATAATAACTGTTTTTAGTGTAAAGAGTGTGAAATAGAAGTGTCACAACACGAAATCCACAAAAATAGTCAATAACAAACGATATAAATAAGTGAACAAAACATAAAACAACATTGTGGGAATAAAAAGTGCAATAAAAGCTAGTGAACAACATAACCAAAAAATTAAAGAGTGAACGACATAACAGTGCTACCAACATAAGCAATAAATTATCAAATAGTAATAACTGTCATTTTGACACTGACATAGCGAGTGTTGCCAGCAACAAGAATATAAACCACCACCCGTCCAGTGTTGTCAGTAAATAATCCAAAAAATGGACAAAAGTATGGAATTATTGTTGTTAAAACTAGATGAGAAATTGAACCAACAAACCAAACTCATAACAGAGTCGGTGACGTATAATGTTATGGAGGCATTAGACGAGAAATTAAAAATAATAACTGAAGAAAACATTAGATTAAAAGACAAAATATTGACATTGGAACAGAAACTTATGATCATGGAAAGAGAGA